TAGCTTGTGAGAATTTCAACATGAATTTCTCCTCCACTGTTTGCTCACTGTACAGTGCTGACTGCTTGCCAGGACTTCTCTTGATGAGCCTGGTGATTATAAGCTCAGTATGGATGTCATCAGCCAAATGCAGCTGTTTACATTTAAATTAAGATGACATTAGAGAGAAATTTAGTTCCTTACTTGTGCTGGTCTCAGGCTAAATGCTTAATACCCACCCATATGTATGTCATATCAGACCGTGCAAATATGGAATGTTCCTGTTCCATCCTTCATAGAGTCCCATTGGATGGAGGAGCTGTTTTAGATCAACTCTTAATTTCAGCTACATATATTTAGAAACAAAATTTTTAGGGGCAGTGCCTGCCCTGGGAAATCAAGACTCCTTAACCATAAGGATTATGTCTAAGGACTTAGGGTAGAGTTGGTGCTGGGTCACACTATGTAGCCCTGACAAAACAGACTCGAGTGACCTTTCTCTGTTGATCTTCTGAGAAGAGTTCCAGGGCAGCATGAGGAGCAGACAGGAACCAGGAACCGGGTGGGTGTGGGAGGGGGGCTGTAGTGGCTGCTTCCTCACAGGAACACTGCATTAATTGAACTTTGCCAAACACTTCCAGGAAAAGAATTTTTGTGCCTTAGTTTCCTTTCTCAAGTTCCCCTCAGAATTCATCCCTGCTTTTTTGTGTTGCATTTTCTAATGTGACATCTTTACTTTTTTATGCCTGTAAGCTCCCTCATGTGTTCCTTTTTATACAGTGCCTTTTTTATACTTGCCAACTCTCTCTCTCCCATGTCACTTCTTCAGATCCTATCTGTCTTTCTCTATTTTATTGAAAAATAATATCTAAGTTCTAAGATGTAGCATCAAGGGCATGATCAGATCTCATGCACATATCTCAGCACACTCTTGCATGGTGTGGCCTTCTGTACCAGTGGGGTGTTGGCAGCAAAACTTTAAGGAGGGCCTTGACCCAGTGTAAACATGGTTGTCAGTTAGCTAAACTTGTAAGGCTTTCAGAAGAAACTAAGTGTGTGTGTGTGTGTGTGTGTGTGTGTGTGTGTGTGTGTGTGTGTGTGTATGTATGTTCCTAATTTTCATTTTATGTGTTGAAATAATTTCTTAGCAGTGTCTAGAATCTAAGGAATATATTTGCTAATAGCAATAAAAACATTTGAAGGTGATTGTATGTATGTATGTATGTATGTATGTATGTATGTATATATGTATTTTGGGAGGTATTCGAAGCACGTTCGATTGTGTGGGTGTCCATTCTCTCCACTTTGTAGTTGCTGAGATCAAGTGTATATTGTCAGGCTCAGCTGGCAGAGATGCTTTTGCAACTGTCTCAATGACCCCAGTTGACAAATATTTTAAATTAAAAGTCCTTACAGGTTCACTTATACCTAGTGTTCTTATTCCTAATTAAGCTGTCACTCTGAATAAAAGAATAGACCTTGGATATACTCATCTGATCTACCATTTCACAACTAGAGGTCAGTGTTAACATACCTACCTGATTAAATGTCTCAGGTGTGAGTCTAAGGTCATTCAAACATTTACCCAACATTTATGAGGGCCAGATCAGAAAGTAGATGATAAAAAAAGACAAAAGTTCTTAAGTATTTATTTCAGCATGAACTGCTTAATTCTACATTTTAATTTAAAAACTTTTGATATTTCTCCCAGTAGTAACTGTTCATGAACAGTTTATATATTAGGCCAGGCATAGAATGATTTGCACCTTTTACTACCAGCTAAGTTCTTTCCTATAGCTTCGCCAGAAGCCTCAATCAGAAAAAGAAGGAAACTATTGCCACTCAAAGGTAAACCAGTCTTCAGAAATGGAAACATAATGTCCTTGTCATTTCCATATAGATCATACCTTATAACATTTACAACAGTGTGCATTGTTTCTCTGACAAAATGTCTCATCTTTTTTAAAAGCTCTGCTTCCTTTTAATAAATATGAAATCCAGAATATTAACTGAAATGTCATGGATACAACCCATGCACAGCACTGGATCAAAGGCCAGAAAGCACATCCCCTGCCCCCTCTACTTCCAGAACCCTACTGGGTTCTTTTCCCAGTTCTAGCTCCTTTGAGAATTACTCATGGGTCTCAAGTGAGAGCGCTCACATGGCACAATTCTAGAACATTCTTTCTACCTCTACATTTTCAACTTTGCATTTTCAAAACTTGTCTCTGCTGCTCAAAGGTTTTTGGAGCCTGTGGACTTAAAACATTTTATTAGAGAATATTAAGATGGCTTTCTTTGAAGTTCAGTTTAGTATGTTGCCCGAAACTGATCAGCTTGCTTTTTCTATTGTTATACAGAGTTTAATCTCTCCTAAGAAGCATACTTAAACATGTTTTAAATACCTAAACATACCTAAATGATTTTTAAAAAAAAAAATCAACTTGAAGTTAGCATTAGTAATAACTAAGTATAGGATGAGCATCCCAATCTAAACAGCAAATTGTGAAATGCTCCAAAATCAGAGACTTTTTAACAGTCAACTTGATGCCACAAGTGGAAAATTCCACTTGATCACATATAATTAGTTGGAGTAAAAAAAAATGCCCAGAAACCAATTTTATGTAAAATTATGGCCATTGAGATGGATCAGAAGTGGCTCAGAGAGTAAAGGCTTACACACACATAATAAACCTACAAATAAGCAAATAAATAAAATTTTTAAAATTAAAATGATCTTCAAGTTATGTAGGCATATAGGAAGCAATGAATTTTGTGTTTATACTTGGTCCTACCCTCAAGCTATCTTGCTGTGTATATGCAGATATTTCAAAATCGGAAACATGCCTGGGTTTCCGACACTCTTCCTCTGTGTCTGTGTGTGTGTGTGTGTGTGTGTGTGTGTGTGTGTGTGTGTGTGTGTGTGTGTGTGTTTTTTCCTAATAGAAACAACTTTTCTGATAGTGCAGTAGGCTCTAATTTTATAACAATGTAAAGTGTGTGTGCCAGTCCACTAGAGCAGTGCATTTGCCTATGACTTTAAAACTCCATTCTTTTCTGAGAATCACTTTGCAGTTCATCAGGTTTTGGATCTCCACATGAAACACTCATTTGGCAGTTGCTTTTTGTCAGGTTTTATGCCCACTAGGCATATAACACAAGACCATAAAATTACTTATTGACTATGATATGGATTCAGCACATGATTAGATTTTCAGTCAACCTGAAAAAAGATGAAAGTCATGCTAACCACCTCCAGGCCATCCCGCCTGCTTTGGTGGGGAATGGCTGCACCATGGAGATTGTAATCCATCTTATTTAGCAAAGTTGAATTCTGAGTTCTCATAATGGTTAGAACTAATAAGTGTTGTGATTTTTAAAATTAATCTTTGTATACCTTTTGGCTTAGAAACCTTTTTACTTTAGGTTTTGAAGTCGTTTGTGCTTTTAAACAAGGATATAATTTAGAACCTCAAATATGTCCCAAATCAAGAAACTAGCTATTAAATTTAAAGTCAGCCAGAGCAGCCACCTGTGGTGTTAAGAAGTTTAGTGCCTATGTGTAAGGCACAGAGGACTGTCCTTTTCCACAAAAAGGAAGTGCCTGCGGAATAGCTGAGTGATTTTGGACCTACCAGATGAAATATTTACTTGGAGATGTTTATGCCCCTTTCTTTTGAACCTGTCTTTTCTAGGTTTCAGTGTAAGGTTGCAGTGGCTTTCTGGACATGGGGGTTTTTCTCTGCCTTTTGTCCTGTGATCTGTGCAGGGGCTTGCTTTGTGAGTTCTAGCTCCTTCCACCCTGATTTTCCTTCTCTTTAAATGTCTGGACCAAGTAAAGGGAAGATTGGTAGTTAACAAATGGCTACTAAGGAGAGCTGTTGGACCTACTGGTAATCTCCTTGTGTTGACCAGTGGTTTTCCCAAGTTTCAGGTGCTTCAATGTTTAAAAGTCCCCATGTTTTTTACTGATTTTGAACAAGGTCTATGTATGATTGGTTTTGTACATGGTTTGAGGTAACAGGGTGGTAGCCATGAGGTATAGCAACAGCCACACTTGCAAAGTTCAAACTTTTAATTACAACCAAAAACACAGACAGATTCTTTGAATAGGAAGCTGTGTTGAGAATGCATTTTCTCAGTAGCAAGGTGTACAGTAATATGAGTGTCTCCTCCTCTTCAGTCTGTTTTTAAATTAATTTTTATTTTAATTAAAAACAATCTTATTTTACATACAAATCCCAGTTCCCTCTTCCTTTCGTCCTCCCATCCCCCCCCAGCCCCCATCCCACTCCCCCATCTACTCCTCAGGTATGGCGAGGCCTTCCATGGGGGTAATCATCAAAGTCTGTCACATCATTTGGGGCAGGACCTAGGTCCTCCACTGTATATCTAGGCTGAGAAACTAACTCAGTCTCTTACGTGCTGTCAAAGACATACGTTTTTAGGCTCTAATCCTTTTACATTTGGACACAATGAATTGACCTCACTTAAAAATTAAACTCTAAGCAGGCTGATTCTGTTGTATCTAAGTTATATCTCAGTAAAGCTGTAATTACAAAATAAACTTATATTAAAAGCATTTTCAGCGGTATTGTGAATAAGCTTTTTCTTAATATGGGAAGGTGAGAACGAACACATGGTCATTTATTTATATGAAGTTCTGAATAATTGGGCTTCTAGAGTGTATTATGTGTTCCTGTTTTTTATTTAACTTGACAAACTGTGTTTGGCATGAAAATGTGGCTTAATGAGAAAGGAAAGCTATCATCTCCTAAGACAACGTAAGAAAGTTGAAGTCTTATTCTCAGCACTCAGCCTGCTGCCAGAATCGACCTGAAAGTAGTTCTGGAAGCCCCAACTTCCTGCCTGCTCCTCTCACCTGGTGCTTTATTATGATCTAAGATCAAGCTGGGTAGCTGAAGGAGAAAGTCGGTGCACTGCTGGATTCTGCTGTTTCAGCTTTTCTTTATGATGGATGATGTTGAAGACTTCTGAAGATATTCCATTTGTCATTACAGAAAGTTGTATCCCTGCCCATGTGGTGGCTGCTATTGATGTGAACACTGTTGCTAATGAAGTATACAAGCATAATTTTCCTCACACACACTTACTGGCAAAGACAATCGAAGTGAGTATATATTATTATTTTAATACATATAATAGCAGTGAAAATGTATATTTCTAACAATTCATAAATACTGGTTTCTGGTGCCTTACTTGGAAAATGAATCATGCAAATGAAAGTTTAGGAGAAAAGGAATGAATGTTTTAAAGTATATCAAAAGGGAGAGTAAATTAATTTAAAATTTAAAGAGTGAGGTCAAGATTTTGGTCTCTGAAAGAAAAGATTGACAGGGAGACACTTAACTTCCAGATGCTTGGTTCTGTAGTGACAGTAAACTTCAATGGTTCACATTCGGTTACTAGTTATGTAATACTTACAGCACATGGTAACAGTGCGGAAGGGATTCGTTGGTTCTTACTTTTTGAATGCTCATCAACAAACTTGTCAGAGTTAGTTCACCTACCATGGACTCTGTTTTAAAAAGAGTATCAGCAGTAGATGACCAACACAAAATGAACTCGATGGTATTTTTGGAGATTTTGTCTTATAATGCTTTGAGTGGACTTTTTGTTTTGTTTTGTTTTCTTTGCTTGCTTGAGCTGTGCTTATCTATTATGATTCCCAACTTTCGTTTTTATGGGGTGTGTGTGTGTGTGTGTGTGTGTGTGTGCTTGTATTTCTCATGCTTTTTCTTTCTTTTCTTTTTTCTGTTTGTCTGTTTATTCTATTTCTTTTTTAAAAACTTTTATTATTGGCCTGTTTGTTTTCTAAAGAGAAAGAAGGCATGGAATTGGATGGGTAGGGAGGTGGGGAGGACCTGGGAGGAGATGAGGGAGGGGAAATCATGGCCAGAATGAACTGTTTGAAACAACTATTTTCAATAACAATAAGTAAAAAATATGAACATAAACACCCCATTCTTTCCGTGTTGTGTGTGTGTGTGTGTGTGTGTGTGTGTGTGTGTGTGTGTGTGTGTGTGTAGGTCAGAGGACAGCTTTCAGGTATTGATCCTCTATTTCTACTCTGTGGCTTCTGAGGATTGAACATCAGGCTCAGGGACAAGTAAGTGCCTTTACCCATGATCTTATTGTGGAAGACTAGCAGCAGCAAGTGTCAGCTTATATGTGAGTTTTCTCATTGGTGTTGATGGAAGTAATGTAAGGTGGTTAAAGCACTTTGGAAAACTTTGTTATCTCCTAACTTTGAAGATCATTGTCATAACAGCCCAGTAATTCCATTCCTAGATGTTTATCCACAGGGAAGGAAGGGGAAAACCCATCAGAGACCAGTATTTTTTACTATGAAAATATAGCCTCAATTTCTTATTGTGTAAATTTTACATGCAAAATTTCATGAAGCCATCAATTATGCACAGTAAAGTGGTATCAAGGCAAAGTGTGCAGTTTGTATTACCTAATTATGTAAGGTATATATGTTTTCCAGGTTAAATTTATTTGTTCAGAATGTGTGTAACAAATACTTTCTTTAATTCTATAGCTTGTCTTTTTATTTATTTAGCTGCTTCCATCAAAGAATAGAGATTATAGGAATTTGTTTTTCCTACACAGGACTTTTTTCAGTGTACTCTGTGAAATCTTTTCATTCTCCCAAATTTTCTGGTTTATTTATTTTTTCTTTTCTAGATTTGTAGGTTTGTTTTTGCATTTGGATCTATGATCCACTCAGACTTACTTTTTGCATACAGAATGCAGAATGGGTTAAGCTTTTTTTTTTTCCTTAAGAGAATATAAAGTCAATCATTTGCTGACGAGTAGTTTTCTCTTAGTCAGTTTCCCTGACATGTTATAAGAAATAAGTCAAATATTTATGGGTACATTTCCTGGCCCTTTTCAATTCAGTAGATTTAATTCTACATCAATTCTTACTTCAATAACACACAGCTTTGATAGTGGTAGTTTTTTTAATACACACTGAATCCAGGCAATGTAAATTCTCTGTTGGATTACTGCCATACATACCTAGGTTCTCTACTTGGTACTAAGTGATTCTTAATATTGTGTAAAATCTGACCATTATATCTCTTCAGTAATTGTTCTTTTCCTACTAGATGTTCTTTGCTCCATCTTATGACGTCATGACTGTTATGTGCACAGACTGATTGATAGCCAGAGACTCATTAGCACAGCTGTGCAGATCATGTGTAGCTTCCTTCATTCTAGTCACCTTGATCTTCATCCCTGAACTTCTTCCTGTCTCTCCCCCACTTGTTTTGATTGCTTGGTTCTGTTTGGGAGTTGCCTCTCTTCACTGCTGTCTAGAAATAATTACTTACCAGAAAGCTGAGGCAATCGTAAGATCCTACTTTAATTTCTCAATCTCCTCCTGGCAGTGGGAGCCTGCACTACCTGAAATCAACTATCTACAAACAGAAGTGGCTCTTACTTACATTTAGTACAGCTTTGGAGGGCTTCAGAGCTTGTTTTGTTTTTTTTTAAAAAAATGAAGGTTAAATCGTTAGAACTTAAACTCTTATGGAGTTTCATTGTCGTTCTTATAGTCTTTCACTGCCAGGTTCTTTCAGCCTTCCTGGACCCCCTTTCAAAATGATCCCTGAGTTGTGTGTGTGTGTGTGTGTGTGTGTGTGTGTGTGTGTGTGTGTGTATTATAGAGGTCTCATTTAAGGCTGAGCATGGCACAGTCTCTTATTCTCTGCACTTTGGCCAGTTACGGGTCTCTGTTAACCTCTATCTACTCCTCCATCTTCTCTGATGGGGCTTCAGAGATGCACTAATAATAATAAATCATCAGGAGTCAGTTTAATACTGTGTCAGTTTAGCAGAGTAACAGTAGTAGGTTCTCACCTAAGACCCATGACCTGTCTAGCTACAGATTTTTTTATTTTATCTTTATTAGTTCAAATTTGGAACAAGGTTGCTTCACATATCAATCCCTTCTCCCTCTCTCTCCCCTCCTCGCAACCACTCCCCATGGAGGATAGGGCCCACCATGTGGGATCCCCAAATTCCACATCATCATCCTGGGCCAGGCCTAGGCCCTCCCCAATGTGTCCAGGCCTACAGGGCATCCCTTTAAGTGTGATGGGCTCTCAAAGTCCTTTCTTACACCAGGGAAAAATACTGATCTACTTCCAGAGGCCCCATAGAGTGCTGAGGCCTCCTCATTGACATCTACTTTCAGTGGTCTGGATCAGTCCCATGATGGCCTCCCAGACAGTAGTCTGGGGTCCATGTGCTCCCCCTTGTATAGGCCATCTGTTTCTGTGGGATTCACCAGCCTGGTCCCGACCCCTTTGATCTTCATTCCTCCCTCTCTGCAACAGGGTTCCAGAGTTCAGTTCATTGTATAGCTATGGGTATCTGCCTCTGCTTCCATCAGCCACTGGATGAGGGCTCTAGAATGGCATATAAAGTAGTCATCAGTCTCATTATAGGGGAAGAGCATTTAGGTTAGCCTCTCCACCATTGCCTAGATTGTCAGTTGGTGTCATCCTTGTAGATCTCTGGAAATCTCCCTAGTGCCAGATCTCTCCTTGGACATATAATGGCTCCCTCTGCTCTCCTCTATTCTTCCTCCAACTCAACCTTTTTGTTCCTCCATTTCCTCCTCTTCCCTTCTCTTCTCCTCCTCTCATTCTGCCAACTCCCTCTCCCCTACCCTCATACTCCCAATCAGCTCAGGAGATCCTGACCCTTCCCATTCTCTGGGGACCATGCATTTTTCTCTTAGAGTCCTTCTTGTTTCCTAGTTCCTTTGGTGAAGAGGATTGTAGGCTGGTAAATCCTTTGCTCTATGTCTAAAATTCATATATGAGTGAGTACATACCATGTTTGTGTTTTTGTGACTGGGTTACCTCACTCAGGATGGTTTCTTCTAGTTCCATCCATTTGCCTGCGAATTTCAAGATTCCATTGCTTTTTTCTGCTGAGTTGTACTCCATTGTATAAATGTACCACATTTTCTCTATCCATTCTTCAGTTGAGGGCATCTAGGTTGCTTCCAGGTTCTGGCTATTACAAAAAAAAATGCTGCTATGAACATAGTTGAACATATGTCCTTGTTGTATGAACATGCATTATTTGGGTATATGCCCAAGAGAAGAATTGCTGTATCTTGAGGGAGACCGATTCCCGTTTTTCTGAGCAACTGCCATACTGATTTCCATAGTGATCTAAAAGGTTTGCACTCCCACCAGCAATAGAGGAGTGTTCCTTTTTCTTCACATCCTCTCCAGCATAGATTGTCATTGGTGTTTTTGATTTCAGCCATTCTGGCCGGTGTAAGATGGTATCTTAGAGTTGTTTTGAGTTGTATTTCTCTGACGGCTAAGGATTTTGAGCACTTTCTTAAATGTCTTTCAGCCATTTTAGATTCCTCTGTTGAGAATTCTCTATTTAGTTCTGCACCCCACTTTTTAATTTCATTGATTGGTGTTTTAGTGGCTAGCTTCTTGAGTTCATTGTATATTTTGGAAATCAGGCCACTGTCAGATGTCAGGTTGGTGAAGATCTTTTCTCATTCTGTGGGCTGTCTTACTGACTGTGTCCTTTGCCTTACAGAAGCTTCTCAGTTTCAGGAGGTCCCATTTATTAACTGTAGATCTCAATGTCTGTGCTACTGGTGTTATGTTCAGGAATCGGTCTCCTGTACCAATACATTCAAGGGTATCTCCCACTTTCTCTTCTAGAAGATTCAGTGTGGCTGGATTTATGGTGAAATCTTTGATCCATTTGGACTTAAGTTTTGTGCATGGTGACAGATATGGATCTATCTGCAATCCTCTGCATGTCTGAATCCAGTTGTGCCAGCACCATTTGTTGAAGATACTATCTTTTTTTCCATTGTATAGATTTAGCATCTTTGTCAAAAATCAGGTGTTCATAGGTGTGTGGGTTAGTATCAGGATTTTCATTTTGATTCCATTGATCTATCTGTCTATTTTTGTGTCAATACCAAGCTGTTTTCGGGAATATGGCTCTATAATAGGCTTGAAGTCAGGGATGGTGATGCCTCCAGAGGTACAGGGTTGTTTTGGCTATAATGGGTTTTTTGTTTTTCCATATAAAGTTGAGAATTATTCTTTCAAGGTCTGTGAAGCACTTTGTTGGGATTTTGATGGGGACTGAATCTATCGATTGCTTTTGGCAAGATTGCCATTTTTTCTATGTTGATTCTACCCATCCAAGAGCATGGGAGATCTTTCAATTTTCTGGTATCTTCTTTAATTTCTTTCTTTAAAGACTCAAAGTTCTTACTGTACAGGTCTTTCACTTTTTTGGTTACCATTACCCCAAGGTTTTTTATGTTGTTTGTGAATATTGTGAAGGGTGATGTTTCTATGATTTCTTTCTCATTGTGTTTATCATCTGTATATAGTAGGGCTACTGATTTTTTGAGTTAATTTTGTATCCTGCTACTTTGCTGAAGGTGTTTATCAGCTGTAGGAGTTCCCTGGTTGAGTTTTTTGGATCACTTATGTAAACCATCATATCATTTGCAAATAGTGAAAGTTTGACTTCTTCCTTTCCAATTTGTATCCCCTTGATCTCCTTTTGTTGTTTGGTTGTTTTTTCTTTAGATTCTTGATGAGAATTACTTATTTCTTGAAAGTTTTTGGTTTTTTTCTTCTATTTCTTTGTGTGGCTTGGGTATCAAAGTTATTGTAGCCTCTTAAAAAGATTTTGCCAATGTCCTCCCTGCTTCTATTGTGGAACAATTTGAGGAGTACTGGAATTAGCTCTTGTTTGAATTTCTGGTAGAATTCTGCAGTGAAGCTATTGGGCCCTGGGCTTTTTTTTGGTTGGAAGGCTTTTGATGACTGCTTCTGTTTCATAAGGGATTATAGTTCGATTTAAACTGCTTATCTGTTCTTGGTTTAATTTTGGTAAGTGATATCTATCCAGAAAATTGTCCATTTCCTTTAGATTTTTTAATTTTGTGGAGTACGAGTTTTCAAAGTGTGACTTGATTATTCTCTGGATTTCCTCAGTGTCTGTTGTTATGTCCCCCCTTTCATTTCTGATTTTGTTAATTAGCATGCACTCTCTCTGCCTTTTGGTTAGTTTGGATAGAGGTTTGTCTCTCTTGTTGATATTCTCAAAGAACTAAATCTTTGTTTCATTGATTCTTTGTAATGTTTTCCTAGTTTCTACTTTATTAATTTCAGCCCTCAGTTTGATTATTTCCTGGTGTCTACTCCTCCGTGCTGAGTTTGCTTCTTTTTGCTCTAAAGCTTTCACTCTCGTGGTTTAACTGAAGCTTGGTGTTCTTTGACCACTATTTTCAACCCATTTACTCTTTGCCTCTATGCATTTGACTTTTTCACTTAACATATACAGGTGAGGTCATAAAGTATCCCCCAGAATCTAACCTAAGAGAAAACACTGATTTACCTTGTGTCCCCATGGATCAGCACCAAGGTGGATGCTGTCACCCTGCTTACGGTGTGAGGACAGGGTGAGTGGGAGGCCAACAAGTAGAAGAGTGTGTGGTACTGAGAGAGAAAGTGGGGAAATTCTCTAGGTCTCTTCCTCTCTCTAGCAGGCATTAGCAGGTGACTTCTGATAAGCAAATTTTCAAATGAAGAAATGAATTCATTTATAATGAATGAACACTCTGGGACTAGGAAGATAACTAGTGTGCCAAGAGCATGGTTGTCCGGGGCAGCAAGACCTTGACAACAACTCCCTTCAGAGACTGGGTTATAGTCTTGGCTGTGCACCGGGTCTGTCTTGAGGGAAGGCAGCTTTCTCCAGAAAGCCTGCATAAAAAGTTGTCATCCGTGGTCAGGCTGAGATATTACACATAGGTTCATAACCATGGCAGAACTCCTTATTTAGAAAGCTATAGATAAAGCCAAAGTACTCAGCTAATTTAGATAGCTAGCAAGTGAGAAGTTATTAGTGACTAGTGTGTAAATGTCATGAGTAGACACTTCATTGAGCTTTTTCTTTGTTGTATGCAACCATGCCTGCCATGTAAATGGTACTCACAAATAATAATGAGTTGATTTATAAAAATTGCTTAATGAATGAACATATTGTACTTACAAAGTAAACAGAGAAATACCAGGAAAATACTGATAAAGGATGAAAGGGGGTTCAAAGCTGACATTGGATAAATGATTAATTGGTAATTCGTGCATGAAACACCTTCATAGGGCAGGACAGGATAAGAAATAGCCTGCCATAAGTTTTCATTGTTTATCAAGTTTGTGCTACAAGACAGGAAAACTATTGACTTGTGAGTACAGACTCTATAGTTACAAATAAAACATGATCAAGTTGATCAGAAACACATCTAAAGGATGCTCACAGTGCACCCAAGGTGGGCTTTCTCTCAGAAATGCACCAGTGTCAAAAGTAAGGATTCTGTTGATATGGTTTAATCAAATACTTATTGAAAAGAAGAACACTATGTCTGAAAGCCTTCATAAAATTTGGTGTCTTTTTCTGAACATTTTAATATCTTGAAACAAAATTAGAAAAAAATGAGCACTTCTCGAGATTCATATGCTACTTCTTGGCCTTATACATGTCACTAACTTTTAATTCAGTGGAGACAGCTGACATGTTCCTAGGTTAACTCACTCTTCACAGAATTCAGAGTATAAAATTTCCTGCTTTATCAAAACATTTAAGTGTGTTAGAGATTTGTTATAATAATTAGGAAGGTTGTGATACTGAGCTATTCTTTTTACATTTCTGGCCAAGAGTGGTGCTTAATGAGAATTGGCAAATCCCTGACATGTGTTTCTCATTGTTTATCTTCTATGTGTACACATATTATATGTTTTTTATATGCATGTGTAAATGGAATCAATTAGGGATCATTTTAATTAATCTTGTCCTCTTACAGTTACTCTGCTAAATTGACACAGTACTAAACTGACTATCCTGGCTGTTCATTACATCACACTTGAGAAACAGAGAAGTACATTGGTAGATAGATACTTAAAGATTCTCCAGACCTTTGCCAAATTCGGTCAATTACAAAAGGTCCCAAAACAGTAATGTTACATTCAAGACCTCCTAGAGGAACCAGTGTGGAGGAAGTCACTGTTTTTCCTGACAAGATTGCTTTGGGAAGTTGGTGTAACTGAAGCTGCACTGTGAAACACTGTGTTAGGTAAACCTACGATTGCTGATATCCTTAGTTCTAATTGTTTAGTATTTTTCTCTTCACTCTATGCATGTTTTTTTTTTCTTCCAAATGTTCATTCCTTAGGGTATTTCACTGGAAGAATTTGACAAGCTATCTTTCAATATGATTTTAATGAGCCCCCCATGTCAGCCATTTACAAGGTATGTATAATAAATATTTTCTATTATGGAAGAGTATGTGTGGTTTGAGGGTATAGCTCAGTGGCAAATGCTTGCCTAGTATGCATGAGGCCCTGGGTTCAAATCTTAACACACACACATACACAGTCCACCACAAATAAGAAAAGAAAGGTGAGAGAAAGAGGAAAGAAAGGAGAAGGGAAGAATGAAGAACTTTAAAGACCATAAGCTGCACTTTTGTAGCTTTAAAATACTTTGTAAATGTTGCCTTTTCATTCACTCATATTTATAATTGTGCACCAAGCATAGGAATTGACAACTGTAATCAGAAGAGCAAAATAATTTGATCAACAGTAAGTGTGTAATACTATGTTATAGGTATATCCAAGGTACATTTATTTTGTTTCAAGTTACCTTCATTGCTTTTAACTGTTGGTTTTGAGCATTCAGAGCCAATTCTGGTTAGTGAAACTGAGAAATATTTCATTTGTAAATTACTTTTGCAAAAAAAACTAAAAGCTAGTTTAGCATATGTTTGCAAATTGTAAATTTCTCAAAATTAACATTATAATTCAATTTTTTTCCACAGCCACATTATTAGATTTATATAGCAATTGTTAACAATGTGTCCCAAGGAATAGTGTCTTAAACCAAATTCATTTTCTTTATTAAATAAAATAAATTATTTTAAGTAGCCATATTAACAGAGTCTTATTGTTACTATTTTGTAGATTAGAAACTGAATCATAGAAAGGTTAGCTTTCCCATGACTATACAGTTAGACAAAGTTCAGACCCATTATTTTTTAATAATTTATATGTTTTGCATTAATATTACTAGCTGAAGTATTATATGTAACAAATATTTTGATTTAGATCAATATACTTTGTTTTTGTTTTTGTTTTTTGAGACAGGGTTTCTCTGTGTAGCTTTGGAGCCTATCCTGGCACTTGCTCTGGAGACCAGGCTGGCCTCGAACTCACAGAGATCCGCCTGCCTTTGCCTCCCAAGTGCTGGGATTAAAGGCGTGTGCCACCAATGCCCAGCATTAGATGAATATTCTTATGCTGTATTTTAACATCTTTGAACTTGAGGAAGCTTATCTCCCTAAAGGTTATTGTTCCCATATGCCATACAGTATCCTTGATACTGTAGTTCCTGATCTTTGGAGTTTATAATTGAAAGGAATGACTCATAAATTAGTGTTATATAATTGTGACATTTGGTCCTGTAAGAACTGTGAAAGTGCCATGAGAACACTGAGGAGAAAGTGGCATGTGTCATGCCCAGAGAGGGGAATTCTTCCAGAGTTGCCATCAGAGCTGTGTCTGAAAGCAGTGTGGGAGTTTATCAGAGAAGGCAGAGGACATTGCATATGAAGGTGGCTTTAAGCATATGGGAGAGTGTGGCCTAGTGTGCAGAGAGCAGAATTCAGCCTGAGTGTGTGTACTGCTGCAGTGCGCCCAGGATCTTCCCTCCTACCATCTTCACTGTATGTTAGAATAATTCCCCTTGCTGATGTCAGCGCTGATTCTATAGTTGTTATCTGAACTCTGGCTGGAAAGGGACAAAATATAAAAACTGAAGATTTGCAAGGAATCTGTTTAAGTCCAGTTTAATCCCCAGCCTTTTAGCCTCAGACCCACTGATAGATTGACAGGGATGTCACGTGGCTTAGGACCATGAAGCTACTGAGCACCGAAGTAGAGACCCCATCCAAGTGTTCCTTTCTACTTGAACCTTGGCCATGCTGTGAACTTTGCCTGGTTTGTTTGCTAGCCCAGTGCTACCAGATTCCATGTACTGACCCTAGGTTGTCTAAACCATGAGATCAAGGGTCTGTTTACACCAGACAAGATTATCTCAGTATCCCTTATTGTCTAGTCTGCTGAAATGGTGGTTATCGCCAGTGTCATCTGTTCCAGATTACTGGATACCCAACCAGCTTGTTTTTCTCTTTTCTGTTTTGTTTCTTTTGGTGAAGATCAACTTATTTAAGTTCTCTTAGTTAACTAAGTCTTTTTGGTATCATATACAATTTTTGATAAACTTTTTTTTGTGTTTTCTTTGCTTTTTTAGAATTGGCCTACAGGGGGATATGACTGATCCAAGGACTAATAGCTTCTTGTATATTCTAGATATTCTACCAAGGTAAAAATTTAGATTTTTGTAAAGTTACCTTAAATTTAAAACTTTGAGTATGGAAGGATGCAATGTTTGTCATTTTGTAAAGATTAGCAGTTGCCACATGCACCCTTCTTTTGTCACAACTAATAAAATCACGGTAAATGTTTCAAAATTTCATGCTTGCCTTCATAGTGAGTGACAGAACTGTCAGTAACCAGCTAAGTTTTGTTGCCTCTTCTCATTCAGTCTAGTTATGCAGATGTTGTGAATGCCTGTGACCATGGCTCAATGGCAGCTAATGCTGGTGAACACTGCCACCATGGCCAAGTAGCAGCCAGTGCTGGTGACCGCTGCCACTATGGCTCAATGGCAGCCAGTGCTGGTGACTGCTGCCACCATGGCTCAATGGCAGCCAGTGCTGGTGAACACTGCCACCATGGCCAAGTAGCAGCCAGTGCTGATGAACACTGCCACCATGGCTCAATGGCAGCCCTTTGAGTTGTGCTGTACAGAAGCCCTGTGAAAGCCAGACTTTGAGAAGTGCTTCAATGGAAGTTACCTCTTCCATTGTAAACGTTTTCAAGTATATCATGCCTTGGGAAAAATGAACAAAATAGGATTTAAAATTCATTTTTAAAAAATTAGAAAATTATTTAAACCTCCATTTCTCACAAGTTGTGATTTTTTTACTTCTTTGTAATAAAATATTTGTATTTATGTTTGTTTGGTTTTTAGATTGCAAAAATTACCCAAGTATATTCTTTTAGAAAATGTTAAAGGCTTTGAAGTATCATCTACAAGGTAAAAAATATATTTGTCTTGCATATGTCTTAAACTTGGGGAAAGAAAGTGTGGTCAGTGTGTAATATATGAAAGACTTAAAAACTAAAATATTTCCTAAATTGAAAAATAAATAAAAAATAAAATGCAATTTCTCAAATAATGACTCTAAGTGGCTTGAGTGGAGTTGGGTTTTTCCTGATGATGAAGTTTGTGTATGCAGTATTATAAAAATACCATGTCTCATCAAGGGCTGACTCCTTTTCTGTCTTACTCCTTTTCTCTTTGCAGAGGGCTGCTGATACAAACGATAGAAGCCTGTGGCTTTCAGCATCAAGAGTTTCTATTATCTCCTTCCTCCGTAGGTACCACAATTACAAACCCTTATATAAGTGAGCATTTAAGGGCCTCCCCTGATGGGAATTTGATGTAATAAACAAAATAGATCTGTTTTTAATATTTCATATAAGTGTTAAATTGGCTCAGACATGGCTCTTACTTTCTGAAGAATGTGGTACATGTTTTGTTGATTTGCTTGTACATAAAAATAGGTTCATTAAATCTCCTGAACTTTTCTTTTAGAAAATAAACAATTGTAGGTTTTGAAAATGAATGGAGTCTTACATGAATGAATTAGGTGTCTAACAGGAAGCAATGCTCAAAGTAATCCAAGTTTGAAAGCAAAGTGGACATACTATTTATAATTCCTTTTTGTTACATGACATTAGGTTGCAAGTGCTGGTTTCATTTTATGTCAGAAATCAAAGCACTTGTTATTTAAAAGATTGACTTTGTAAATGTTGTTGTGTTTGCTATTGATCTTTTTAGTTTCTTATCATCATTAGTTATATTATATAGTTCTTTGACCACAAATGAAAATAAAAATCTAGTTTAAAAATTTAATATATAAATTGTCAAAACTGACAGTGTAACTAACTGATCTTTTTTAAAAAAAATTATTTATTATATATTCAGTGTTCTGCCTGCATGTATCCCTGCATTCCAGAAGAGGGCACCAGATCTCATTACAGATAGTTGTGAGCCACCATGTGGGTGCTGAGAATTTAACTCAGAATCTCTGGAAGAGCAGCCCGTGCTGTTAATCTCTGAGCCATCTCTCCAGCCCCCTAACTGATCTCTTTAACTTTATTTTAAATCATTGCCTCTTCTAGCGTATAGTAAAAGTAAAAGTAATAACAAGAATATCTATATTTAAATTTAATGCTTTTACTACCATTATATTATCAATAACAAATACAAAATGTCTCTGTTTCCTCTTACTTGTGAATTATGACCCAGGAATACATAAATTGGCTGGGATAACCATCATTCAATGAAAGGTACAGAGCAGCAATATTGCTGGCTTAGATTCCTCTGTAGAGAAGTCTTCCAAAAATTAGTAGCAGCATTTGCTCTGGCAGACATGAGGTGCATATCTGTCTGCCTCTTTATGCTAAGTGCTGAAGTTGCTACAAATCTCCCTCATTTCATATGGTAACTAACCTTTCTGTTTTGCTTGCAGCTTGGTATTCCAAACTCAAGGCTACGATATTTTCTCATTGCAAAGCTTCAGTCAGAGCCTTTACCTTTTCAGGCCCCTGATCAGGTATTGCTGCTGCTGCTGCTGTTACAGTTTACTTGTGAATGAGTCTCAGTCTGTCAGTTTCTTCTCAGTAACTAATTAGGACTTCTGTGCCTATAGAGTTTATAATACTGGTCATCTTCATGTCCATTTCCAGGCCTCTGCTTCTCCTAGTGTTTACTTTTATATCTCTCCTCTCTTTAGTTTTCACTAAACTAAATAAAACTAAAACTCAAAAAGGTTTTGTAAGATTAAAAATTATCACTAGTATTGTTATCCCTTGTCTCCCCCATAACTTCAAGTACCACTGACTTTTACATTTGTTATTTTCTCTTCCCAGTTAAAGCCTTGATTATTTCTCTAAAATGTAATGTGCTGACTTTAAAATGGCCTGCTTAAACATATTTATTATACTTGCCCTGATGCCAATATTACTTACCTTAATTGGTTAAAATGTAATAATTAGTATAAGCTGATCATTAGCTTATACAAATTCTCAACTGCCAAGTTGGAGTTCTTGATGAATAATTTTGTGTTTTCATAAGAAATGAGGGAAGATACCAGAGTTTCAGTGCCTCAAAGAGCTTTGTTCTGCATAGCCATCACCAGCAGAGCTCAACAGCCAGTCAGTCTACTAGTGAAGACCAGTTACTGTCTTGACTCTCCTGTGACAGGACAGATGCTCTTTCTCATACTGGACAGTTCCAGAAACAATGTAAAAAGTGTGTTAAGGAATACTTAGCTGGGCTTTGGTGGCACACGCCTTTAATCCCAGCACTTGGGAGGCAGAGGCAGGCGGATCTCTGTGAGTTCGAGGCCAGCCTGGTCTCCAGAGCGAGTGCCAGGATAGGCTCCAAAGCTACACAGAGAAACCCTGTCTCACAAACAAACAAACAAACAAAAAAAACAAAAAAACAAAAACAGAAGGAAGACTTAATCACTAAAAATTCCTTGGGCATTTTTCTCATTTGTAAGATAGAAGTTTATATAAGATCAGGAGTTTCCAAATCAAATCATCCCCACTGCCCACCCCTCCCCCATGGGGCATACCTCAGTGAAAAACACTGAGTTTTGTTTTACATTTGAAGATCTTGCAGCATTTCCTTTTTAATGAAGGAGCTTGGTAATCTTTAATTCTATGCACATTCTCCAATGCCAATATTGCTTTTTTAATCTTCTTTTCCAGTTGTGCTACTATGTTTATATTTTGTGAACTTTTCCATTAATAAGCATACCAAACAGGAATTTTGTGAAATAAATCCTCTGCAGCTTACTTTGAATATGGCTGTATGATTAATAACTTCTGACCATAACTCATAAAAATACAAGAAAACCACAATTTTAATGTCAACCTTAAAGAGGCTAAAAAGGTTTCCATGTGTTCTGTTGACACTATTGATTTATCTCTAAAATAAGATAAAACTTTTGACAGTTTGTATTTTTCATTTAATGCCAGATACTGATGGAGTTTCCTAAAATTGCAACTATACAGACACAAAGCTATGCAGTAGTTGCAGAAAATACATTAAGAGTGAAAAGACCTGAACCAAGCACCTGCTTTGATAGCAGCAGCACACAGTATTCCAGAAAGGATAGCATTCTTTTTAAGCTTGAAACTGCAGAAGAAATTGACAGGAAGCACCAGCAGGACAATGACCTCTCTGTGCAGATGCTAAAAGATTTTCTTGAAGATGAGGACACAAGTCAATACTTTTTACCACCAAAGTTACTGCTTCGATATGCTCTTTTACTAGATATTGTTAAGCCCACTTCTAGAAGGTCCATGTGCTTTACCAAAGGGTAAGTTTGAAAGCGATTCCCTCCATTTTGTGTCTCAAATAATGTTTCGTAGCTTGTCTTTTAGCTTTTCTCAGAACAAGAAGTGTTTGATAAAATGTTTCTCTTAGACTGACTTCTTTCCTAACTGCCAGTAGAACACAAGTGAACATTCCTCGTGCAGAACATTCTGGGCACCACCCACAAAGTGTCCATGGAAGACAAGGTCATTTGTGATGGCCTTTGTACAGCTTAGTTACTTGTCTCAGCATGATTTCTGTACTTTGTGAATTGGTAATTTTACCACCTTTCTTTATGTAAGACACATCAAACCTCGAGAGTGATGTTTATCCGTGTGTCAAAAGAAATTATATTTTAAAGTAATAAAATTGAACCATCCAGTTACAATTTAAATCTAAAACTTAAATGAGTCTTTAAATTATTCTCATGTTCCAAAATTCAGAAGTTATCAAGATTATAAAACTCCCTACTATATCTGTCTCTTGGCCATCTAGTGTCTTTTGTTACCACCTTGTGGTATCAATGTACTCTACCGTCTTCCAAAGGTGTTATTGCTAATACTGCTTCCCAGGATGAACATAAAAGAACTTTTTCTCACCATGGCAACAGTGACCATGCTCCTAATGTCCCAGCCACAAACTGAGACTTGATTCCATCAAAGTTTACTTTTGAGAACCAGTGAGTTAATTGGGCTTCCTTCCAGAGCACAGGTGAGAGGTTACTTAAAGGGGAATGGGTACTCCTGAGCCCCAGCAGGCTGCACTTGGAAAGTCTTTACCCAATAGGGATGATGGCTTGCCTGTACCTCACAGAGGGAGGATCCTGTATCTAGTCTTCCAGGGCCTATGTACTCTAGTCCTCCCCAGTGCCATGTGCAGTGAAGGCAGAGTTACACAGAACAAGCAGTAGGGAGCAGTGGATACACAGGTGAAGTCTGTGGTCCTCCCCACCCCTCCACGGGGGACAGAATCTTTCATAAGAGGACACAGATGAGTTTCCAAAATGGTGGCTGCTGGCTTGGAGGATAGTCACTCCTAATCTTCTTTGGATATTGTTGCAATGGTAATATAAAAATCTTTTTTATGTTCATGGCAAAAGAGGATCATAGTTTGTTTTATTGGTTACCTATAGTTGAACATTTAGTGTTTTGCTTTGGGTTCTTTCTTGACTTATGACAAATTTTGACAATTTAAAAAAAAAACTTAGAATAATGGGGAAATTGGAACTTTTAGGGAAAAAAAAAGTTAAAGATGCTGACTCTATTTTGTGCATGCCCCGCAGCTTCATTCGTTGGGTAGGCAGTTGTGTGATGTGACAATTCAAACTATCTTTTTGCCTGCTCATTTTTATATGTGGGAACTGCTTTCCTACAACCATATAGACTCAGGCTGATTTTATGATCTGCCCCCATGGCTTCTAGGAGAAAGGGTTTATTACTTTAAAAAGACTCCACTCAGCTGTTGTCAAGTCCAATAGATTCTGTTTAGGACTCTCATAAAATAGCACTTATCAGTTTTGTAATAAAAAGAAACCTTGATATTCCTTTGTAATAAAGATGACATAAAGAAAGCCTTACTGTGGCAGTCTCTTCTGCGAAAGATGGCACACACATGTTTAACTGTGTAGTACATATGAAAAGCCAGTGTGAAACAGTTATTTTCTCATGGTGTACTTTTCTAGTCTATAGTTTAAATTGTCCTTATTGTGAAAAGAAAGTGCTCATGTGATGGAAAGCCAGCTTAGCAACAACAGAAAAATAATACTATACCTTTCATTTCTGAAATATTTTATACTTATTATACAATTTTGAAACTAATTAATTCTTAAATGAAAATTATATTAAAAGGATACTGGGCTAGAGAGAGTTAGTCTCGTTGTCAGTGAACCATGTCTGTGTGGAATTAGGGAGCCGGAGATTTTCAATGCTGAGAAGACTTATAATTTAGGCATTATAAAAATAATAGCAATATGTTTTCATCTGTGCATTTGGTTTAATGTGACAGGGACCTTTGTAATATAGTGTATACTTTCTAGCAGGTAACATTGCAGATATGACAATTAACACATCATTCAGTGGCGTTTATACAGCTCAGCTGCCACATTGTTTCTGAGAAGTTTAAATCAAATTATGTCTTTTGTCTTATTTTAAATCACAAAGCATATTTATATGATATTATTAAAGTTGTTTCAAAGAATATAAATGTATGTCATTCAAGAAATATTTGTGTTACTTAAAGTATTTTTTTAGAAAAAGATCTTAGTGGATTCTAGGGTCAGTACAGTGTTTTTAATAAGCACAAGGGCCAGAATTAGAACCCCAGAGCACATGTCAAATATAGCTTAGCATGGTGGTATGCACCTGCAATCTCAGCTCTGGGGAAGTGAGACCAGCAGATCCTGGGGCCTTGATGGCTGACCAGCTTAACCTATTTGGTGTGTTTGATACCAGTGAGAGAGCCTGTCTCCATAAAACAGTGGACTGTGCTTCAGGCATGACACCCAAGGTTGTCCTCTGACCTTCACACACATGCATGTACATGCACACCTACATATATACATAAACAGTCACACAGACTCACACATGAATACACACACACACACACACACACACACACACACACAGAGAGAGAGAGAGAGAGAGAGAGAGAGAGAGAGAGAGAGAGAGAGAGGAGAGAAATTAAATTAAAAGACGTGAGGTGTTATATATTATTCATGTCAATTTTTCAGGTATGGAAGCTACATTGAAGGGACAGGCTCAGTGTTACAGACAGCAGAAGATGTGCAGGTACCATGTATGTTTTTAAACCACAACTTTCCATTTAATAACATTACTTTTAATATTTAAGAATATTAAAATAATTTTAAATGTTCAGCTGAGAGTGGCTATGTGTGTTGATGATACACAATTTCTTTTCTGTGAAGTTATTCTTATACTTATTGTTTTTCTTGTTAGCATTATGAAATTGACTTTGCTGGTTGACTCAGTTTCCTGTATGTTTTTATACCTTTCTAATTGATATATATACTGATGTGTCTCAGTTTCCTGATCTATTCAATGTGAGCCTTCTCTTTTTCTAAGTCTGTTGCCATTATTGAGCCATTTCTACAGCTGTTGCATAGAGATGCACACTTATACATTTTGTTACCAGCAGACTGCTTGTCCACTGCTCTTAATGCTAAGTCTGGTCCTACAGTATTTTTTAATTTCTCATGGATGTCTTTTTTAACAGATTGAAAATGTCTTCAAATCTCTTAATGATTTGCCTCCAGAAGAAAAGATAGCTAAGTTGTCAACACTTAAACTGCGATATTTCACACCTAGAGAAATTGCGAATCTCCAGGGATTTCCTCCAGAATTTGGTATGTGGAATCTATATAGATCACAGCTTTCTTTCCTTTATTAAATCTCTCAGCATTTCTTAGGAACTCACTTGTGTATTTTTGTGAATGAATCCTCCCTCCTTTCTGCTGTGACAGCTTTGCTGTTTTTCTCACTTGTCTCCACTTCAGTCATGTTTCAGTCAGTTCCCTCCTGACCCTATTTTTCTTTTAAGTCCAGTAGTGAGTCTACTTAGGCTGAGGTGCATAATGGTGACCACTAATTCGCTCAGGCAGTGGGTAGAATCCCCTTTCTATTTACATCTTTGTTTCCATAGGTCTGAACTTGATAACTCCACATGAGATCGTGTGTGTGTGTGTGTGTGTGTGTGTGTGTGTGTGTGTGTGTGTGTGAATCCCTTCAATTGGCTTATTTTCTTGTTATTTTTATTAACTCAGGGCCTTAAGTATACTAAACCAAACTACATTCCCCTCCCCTTCCTTTTGTATTTATTTTTATAATGAGACAGGCTCTTTTTTAAGTTGACCAGGTCTGCTTTTTAAAAACCCAAGTGGTCCTTGAAACTCATGATCCTCCTGCCTCAGCTCTCCAGTACTGGATTACAGGCTGTACAAGCAGGCTCAGCTAGGCTCCACTGGCATTTTCACAGTAAGAAGGTAAGGAGTAGCTAAGTTAACCAGTTGTTGGACAGGGGCTGTCTTTGTGGTTGTTTTTTCACTTGGGCAAAGATACATTATCAGTTATTTGCCTTTGTTCTTACTATAAGGAATGTAAAGGGCACGCAAGAGCTTTAGGGGATCTGCAGCAGGGGAGTGTACAAACAAAAGCAAAGATAGAAGGAAGACAAAGTCCTAACTCCACCATAGTGCAGGAAATCCAGGGATTAGGGCCATGAAGCCTGGACACTGCCCTATGTGCTTACTGTGGCCCCCAAGCCCTGCCCTGTCACATTGTCACCAGCCTCTCAACTCTAAGAGATCCACGTTTTCTTACACAGGGGCTCAGAGTGCTCCCCATACCTGGCTAAACAGGCAAAGGGAAAACTAGAGCTACCCAGCATGCCTCCAGGTCTGAGGAGGAGGAAATCTAAGAACTCTGCTTGAGGATTTGAATGTAGAAGGGAAACTATTAAGTCCAGTAGAGTTGTAATATTTGTGCATGTTTGTGAGGTGAATAATGGTCAAAAGAGATTGGGTTTCAGATTCTAAGTGATAAACTTACAGATGAGGTCTTGGAACCCAATCCTCTTGTCCACTGACAGTGGCTATCCCACTTAACTGCTGTCAGTATTTGCTTCTGTGAGCATAATCACAGCTACCAGGCTGATTTTCCACTCCTTGTCCTTGAAAAGTTTATCACTGTTGCAGTTTGTATTTACAAATTCAGGTATTTGTGTGTGTGTGTGTGTGTGTGTGTGTGTGTGTGTGTGTTAACAATTGAAAAAGAGAGACCATGATTTTGAGAGGGAGGAGGGGTGGGGGCATAGGAGAGAGAGGTGGGAAGAAATGGAAGGCAAAATGCTATAATTGTGTTTTTTTAATTTAAGAAAGAAAAAATTACTATTTTTCTCTTTTTCTCCCTTTTTGGTCATCTCATTCGATCCTCAATGTTTTAGAGATTGTTACTAAAGAAAGGCAGACTTTCCTTGTCTTAGTACATGTCACAAAGGGAGAAAATTGTAGGATATGAGGGTTGGACTCATCTCAATTCTGCCTACCAGTCTGCTTTCCTAGTTACTATTCTCTTCATATTTTGAATGAGCAGATGTACTCCTCATACTACTTAAAAGAAAGGCTATTGATTGTCTAATCAAAATGAGTTCCTAAGTCTCAGTATGCTGACTATTTTACCTCTATTACCATGGTAATATTGAAACTCAGGAAGGGATTTGGAGAGCCAGAGTCAGATCAAGCAAAAATCTTTTTTCTTTTAGTTTACTTGTTTGTAAAATGTAGATAATTATAACACCCACTTTATGAGGTATTATGACAGTTGACTGAGTTAGTGTATTTAAATGCTTATATAATGTCCTAGGAAAATTATGTCGATTTTTTAAATTCTTAAGTTATAAAAAATAATTTTAAAATATTCCATTTATTTCTTTACTTGTGTATGTGTGTACACATATGTGCATCTGCCATGATGTGTGTGTATAGTATACATTACAGGAATTGGTTCTCATAAGGGTCTCATGAACTCATGTCTTTAGGTAGTGGCACTGGGCCATCTTGGTGGACCCTAGAGATGGGTACTTTTTATTTTGTAAATTTCATAAATACTTTTTCTGTTTTGAAATTTGAGGTGAATACAATAGAATTTCTTGAGGTTTTTTTCACACACACACACACACACACACACACACAATACATATGAAGAGTCTTAATTTTTATTCAATTTAATTCTTAATTTTTTTAGGTTAAAATATAATCACATCATTTTCCCCCTTCCCTTTCATTCCTTGAATCCCTCCTTGTACTTTCTCAAATTCATAGCCTATTTTTTTGTTACTGTTACATATTTTAAATTGCTGAATGACCTTTAAAAATATATGTATTCTTGCATTGACAATCTTGCCCAGATGCTACCACAGAACATGATACAGCTGTCCTTCATGTCCTTTGTACCCCATTGGCTGTGGGTATGGTGTGAGCTATTTGTCCCCTGGCAATGATAGATTCATATAGATTTTTCTGTTCATTTTGTCCTGGTGTCTTGTGACTGACAACTAGCATGTCTGTGACTAGCTGGCTTTAGAAGAGAGCACAACCTTTAAGCTGTCTTGACCCTATGCATTGTGTGGTTTCGTTTTTGAAGACTATCATTACTTTAATATATCTATGCTTTTTAAAAATTGTCTTTTATCTTAGAAACTGTAATTCCATCACTTAGTTTAGATTTTAGTATCTGTATAAAATAAAATTCTGTTTCTAAATTCATCCTTCCCTTTAGTGTAGTCTTAATATTGCAAAGGATCATTCCCTGGGATATTGTAAAAGTTTATTTGTAAACACATTTGTATGTCTGGTTTTTGAAACTAATCTTTGAGATTAGTAATGTGCTTGCCTGTGGCTCACTATCTATAGGATATAAGCTTTACAGTCATGCTTAATTGCAGATGACAGCTTTATTGTAGTCATTATTGTTATCTTATTACAGTTAATATGGAGTCTAGATTTGGTGAAGATACTTTACCTAATGGTCCTTCATTACAAATATATGAAATTGTACTACTCTTTTTTAAATTAATTTTTATTTAAATTAAAAACAATCTAATTTTACATACCAATCCCAGTTCCCTCTCCCTCCCATCCTTGAATTCCCCCGACCACTGCTGCCATCCACTCCTGAAGCAGGGTGAGACCTCACATGAGGGATCATCAAAGTCTGCTACATCATTTGGGGCAGGACTTAGGCCCTCCCCCTGTGAATCTAGGCTGAGAGAGTATCACTCCATAGGGAATGGGCTCCCAAAGCCCTTTCGTGCACTAGAGATAAATACTGATTCTACTACCAGAGACCCCACAGACTGCCCAGACCTCCCAACTGACACGCACGTTTAGGGGGCTTGGTTCAATCCTATGATGGTTCCCCAGCTGTCAGACTGGGGTCAGTGAGCTCCCACTTTGTCAGGTCAGCTGTTTCTTTGGGTTTCCCCAGCATGGTCTTGACCCCTTTGCTCATCACTCCTCCCTCTCTGTAACTGGATTCCAGGAGTTGGGCTCAGTGCTTAGCTATGAATCTCTGCTTCTGCTTCCATCAGCTACTGGGTGAAGGCTCTATGAAGGCATTTAAGGTAGTCATCAATCTCATTATAGGGGAAAGGCATTTAAGGTAGCCTCTCCATTATTGCTTAGATTCTTAGTTGGGGTCATCCTTGTGGATCCCTGGAGATTTCTCTAGTGCCAGATTTCTCATTAAGCCCATAATGGCTCCCTCTATTAAGGTATCTCATTCCTTGCTCCCCTTCTCTGTTCTTCCCCCAATTCAACCTTCCTGATCACTCATGTTCTCCTCCCAACTCCCCTTCTCCCATCGTCTTTCTCCTACCTTCCTTCCACCCTCCCCCCATGTTCCCAATTTACTCAGGAGATTTTGTCCCTTTCCCCTTCATGGGCCCTGAGGGGGCTATGTATGTCTCTCTTATGTTCCTCCTTGTTTCCTAGCTTCTCTGGGGTTGTGGATTATTATAGACTGCTTATCCTTTGATCTATGTCTGATATTCACTTATGAGAGAGTACATAACATATTTTTCCTTCTGTGTCTGGGTTACCTCACTCAGGATGGTTTTTTCTAGTTCCATCTATTGCCTGCGAATTTCAAGATGTCATTGTCCCCCCCCCCCCGCCCCCGGCTGAGTAGTACTCCATTGTGTAAATATACCACATTTTCTTTATCCATTCTTTGGTTGATGGGCACCTAGGTTGCTTTCAGGTTCTGGCTATTCCAAATAATGCTGCTATGAACATGGTTATTCTTAATGTCTTCATGATTTCATTTATCTTATTGTCTAATTTTCCTTTGCTTCACCTGTTATGCCAAGTCACACTGAATAACTAAATCAAATAAGAGAAAATCAGTTTATGGAAGCAAACTATGAAAACCAGCTATCTACAGGATATATAAAGAATTCTTACAACTCAACAATAAAAAGAAAATAATCCACCATAAAAATGTGAAAATGATTTTAATATATATTTCTTCAAAGAAGATAGGCAAATAGCCAATAAACACAGGAAAAGGATGTTAAACACCATTAGTTATTAGAGAAATGTAAGTAAAACCACAGTAAAATATTTCTTCATATTTACAGAGTGAAGTGAAATATTACTAACATCTCTACATGCATTAAACTAATATATGATGCAGAAGTTTTACCTCTAGATACATATCCTAGAAAAAACTTACACAATATGTATATAATATTATATATAATATCCAAAGTAGAAACAACTCAAATGTTTACCATTGAATGAATAAAGTTTGTCTTATCTATGAAAATATTATTAAGTAATAAGTAGTAAGTACTAGAATTTGCTATAATGTGAATGAACCTTATACATATAACTGAAAAAAGACAGACATAAAACATTTCCCTTGATTCTATATGTAGGAAATTAGAATAGCCAAATCTGTAGTAGAATCAAAAAGTAAATGTTGGAGATGGACAAAGACAAGGAACAGGGAGTGACAGTTGATGGGTATAAGAGTTTTTTATTTTGAAGTAATGAAAATGAAGATGCTGAGAACTTTATCCTAAAATGCATGACACATATACTTTAAAAGGGTAAATTGCATTGTATGTAAAGTAGAGCTCTGTAAAAGTGTTGTTAAGTAAATAAATTTACCAAGAAAAATAGTAGCAACCATTTTTCCAAAGTGTAATAGCACATATTTCTGTGAACTGAGTGTGTTTGCATTTAACATAGACATAACTGTGTTATTTAACACCTCATTGTATTTACATTATAGCATGATGTTACACAGTATTCAGGCCTCCAAATTCTCATTTATTTGTAAAGCCTCATGGCCATATTAGCAATTTACCATCTTTTGTGTTTAGCTATGAGTATACTTTCTGAATATTGTGTCTTTAGGCAATTTCATGTGTGAGCATCTTAGAGTATGCTTACACAAACACAACTACAATGTCACAAGGTAGTACATTGTATAGGTGCTCCATTATGCATAGGGCCTTCATTGACCATGACACTGCCAAGAAGATGTGAATGTATTTATAAAATGACCATTGTGCCTTTACTAAAAGGTATCTTTTATTTCTGGAAATTAGGATTGCAAGTGACTGTACTGTAAACACCACCTCTGTTTTCTAGGATTTCCTGAGAAGATAACAGTGAAGCAGCGTTACCGTCTCCTTGGCAACAGCCTCAATGTGCATGTAGTAGCAAAACTTATCACAATCCTGTGTGAATAATTTGTGCATACCTCTGAGAGGTGTCATAGTGTTCCTCCAATTCTAGACAGTAATTCTAAAAGATTTGAACTAATTCATATAAAATTTAACTAAAGTATTTTACTAGCATTTTAATGGGTAATTGGGAACTTACTTGATACATTCAAATTGTTTTCTTAAATTTATATTACTATATCCCCAAAACTTCACTTTACTGTATTGCTTTATGGGCAAATATTTTTAAAGCTTTTAAATATGTATATTAAATATCTTTCATATAATGCTACAAGCAAATTAAGAATGCTTAAATTTTTATATTCTTTCTAGTACTTTATAAAGTCTGATGTGAATAATATAATGATCCTTAGAAAATCATTTTTGTGTGCTAATTTTAAAATTGTTTTATGTATGGAGAAACCAAGCAGTATGGACCTGGAAGCTTCATCCCTTCTGACTAGCTTTTATAGTATTGGAAGGTGCTATGCATGCTACTGGAAGGAAAACAATCATCATTCTTAACTAGCTGTGATCCGGGAAGCTACAATAATGACTGTCCCATTAAGATGTGCCCACGAATGTTATGAGAATAACCAACTGCTCTCTGACTTGATTTAAGGCCTGATCCATGAGATGGACCCCATGTCTGGTACTGTTGTCTAGTTCAACAACCTGTGGCCAGATAGGTCGTGGGCCCTAGGGGGTAACCTACTAATATTATTCTGCTAAATGAACATAGTATTAAATGATTCCTGGTGGTTTATTATTATATCATAGATTAGTTTTCCCCTCAACACTCATCAGGGAAGCTTCTTGTAGGAGATGGCAATACAGAACCCAAAAGTGGTTAGCATGCAGAGACTTAGAGACTGGAATTCGCAGTCCTAAATGGGACACATCACACTCCTCCCTGCTATGGCTAAGGGATCATTGCAGAAGAGGGAACAGAAAGATCATAAGAGCCAGAAGTAGTTTAAGAAACCAGTGTTTTCCAGGCACAGCAGGACAATGCACACGTGAGCTCATGGCCATTGTGGCAGCATGCACAACACCTGCATGAGCTTAAACCCCACACAGGCTCCCAGCATTGAGAGTGCTAAAGTGGGTATCCAGTCACATTCTAGCCGAGAAGGTATTGGCATTTGATAGCTGCTGGGAGAGGAAGAGTCGTTTCTCTTCAAGGGTGTGATTCCTGGAATTTGGATCACACTCCAGGGCAGACTTATACTCAAGATGATTTGAGCATCACAAATTGCATTTTTAAAAAGAAGATACAAAGTGAGGTGTTGGGAGGGAGTGTGAATATGATCCAAATAAATTGTACATTTTCTCAAAGAATTGGTATTTTAAAAAATAAAACACTTTTTAAAATCTTACTGTTTGTTGTTAATTTGTCCTAACTGAAATTCTCATTCTAGCCTATTGAATGTTTTACTGAGTTCCAGTCTCTTTTAGACAAATACATACATTTTAAACCAAACTATCATCACCCAAATAAGACATCAGTCTGAAGAACTGAAGAATATAAATTCTTAACTATATCTTCGTCAAAAGGCCTTAGAAATGCAAATGCAGGTGAATTCTCTATCTCTTCATTAATTTTTTTTTTTTTTTTTTGCAACTGGATCTCACTGTGGAACCCTGGCAGGCCTTGCTATGTAGAGCTGTCTGGCTTCTAACTTAGAGGGATCCATCTCTCCCGCCTGAGAGCTAGAATTAAAGGTTCAGTACTACTAAACCTGGCCTCTTCTTTAATCTGAATCTGAAGATAAGAACTCATTGTTCTGTCTTCATTTACACATACTTCCTTCCTTCCTTCTAGTTTGCTATTACCAGAGTGGTTTTTTCCTTTGTCAGCCTTTAGATTACATTTGTCTGTCATTACAGCTTATGTGGCAGAAAGGTTGTAGAAGGAAAACTTGCCACCTTTTCTATATGGTACTACCCCATCCTTCTTTGAAGTTGGGATTACAAGGTTTGTACTACCACACCTGGCTTTTGAGGAGGATGTGCCTAGTTGATGGCATGAATATGAGGCAAATGTGAGCAACTGAAGTACACTCCTAGACCAATCTGGGTTTTTAAAGAGCTAAATTTATTTGTTGGGGAAGGTTTCCAGTTGCTGTAACAGTCTGTACGCCTGCTAAGCACCCATATAATGATGGGTGGTACAGAGTCCAATGCAGACAGCTCTAGTTGCATAGTTAGAGGGTAGGATTCTCTCAAAGAAATTACATCCTGTCTTTGGCTTAAATCTGAACCTTATTCAGATCAGCATGTTAGCTCGGGGAATTCTGAGGTAGGAGAAATGAAACTATGGAGAA